ACATATTATTAGGTGTTTTCGATTATCTCACATATACTAAAAAAATTGTTATATTATTAAAATGGTTAATGGTTATTAAGCTCCTGCCTCCTTCCAACCCTTACGAGTGGCACGATTCGCAAACTATCACATGATACTACAAGACTTTTCAAATACTCCAATCCTGAACAATGAATTTTTCCAATCTTATTTATAAGTTATATTATTAAATTTCTTATATAAATGGTCAACTTCACCTTTTATTTGCAGACTGTTATTTTCTTAAAAAGTATATACATTAAATAAAATTAAAATTAAAAAGTTACTAATTTTTAAGATAGAATTAATAAAACTTATCTTTTTATGTTGAAAATAACTTGTGAAAAAACAAAGAAGGAGAAAATGCTTCAACTTGGATTTTAAACGAAGTTACTTCAGACCTTATATTCCATGCTAAGAGTCTTCATGGCAATGCTCAAGCGGCACATCTCCCCGACAAGTGAAGAGGCCGTAGACGGTGTCGGACTTGTTTCCGACGAAGGTGCGGTAGAATCCATTGTTTCTGGTGTCGTTGGATGCCTTGGAGAGTTGTCGGGTGAGACTTTCGAGGTTGCATAGGTAGGGATCGTTGGCTTTGCTGATCGAGCAGTTGCCGCCTATATAACTGGGGAGCACATTCTATACTCATCAACTAGAACTTCCAAGCTCTGTTTAAGGAAAGAAACAAAATGGTTATGATTAAATCATGGCCTTGACTATTCATAAATACCCAATTAATCCTTTAATAAGTAAAGAAACATTACTGTGCTCTAAATATTAAAATTTGTAGCTTTAATGTTGAAAATTCAAATGTGAGATTGAAAAGACCGCGTCACAGAGGAAACATATGGAAAAGCTTTCCAATCTTTTCATGGAGTCGGAAATCTGGACTTTCAGGAGTCTGTGACAACAATACGAAGGTACTCCAATGCCTAGAAGAGAAACGCCGGATTTGTGCGTGGTGTGTGACTTTTGTCCTGTGACGGAGGGTTGGATTTGTGTGCGTGGAAAGACTAATTTTATCAATATAGAGATAAAATTAGAGCATGCATTAAACTTAAATCTTCGCAAGATCAAATATTGGGAGTTGCTCTACACTACAACGATGAAGGGAATCTCCTCCTCACCTTCTTATGACGTTAACTTCGGAGGCAGAACCGCCGGTGGGAGGCAGTTTGCCCTTGTGATAAAATCGTTCTGTTCCGACTCTCAAACAGCAGCTCGGATTCCGAATTCTTCCTCTGCGTGTGGTATTTTCATTTGGAATAAGTTTCATGATGCCATATAGACACTCTACAGATTTGCGGGGACAGATCCGGCGTGCGCTGTACAAGAGTGTACAGCAATTCCCAACTAAAGATTGCTTCTTTTGTTGCAAATTTCTTGGTACCTGCAGGCCCTGATTTCGCTGCCTCCACCATCGCTTCATTCAATGTCTTGTTTATTTCTCCATAAGCGTTTCCACCTACCTTGAAGTCTGTAGGACTTGCGAATCCTGATTGGGACGGACTCCTGCATGGTGTTGATAATGTGTTGGAAGCAGAGGTGGTTACGGAGCCTGTGGCCACAGCGATGGCCACCTGCTAACAGTAGGCTGTTGGTCGGGGGTATCGGTGGAGAAGAAAGAACGGTGGGAATAACGGGCGAAGCACTCGTCGTATTGCCACTTTGTTGCTGGGACACTCTGAGACTATTCGATTTGTGGCGTCCTGAACGCAATTCTGACAGACCTGAATGGGATGTCCCCTCGGCACATGTAGCCTCCATATACGGTGTCGCCGTCGTTGGTGCTTTCGGTGGTGTTGTAGAATTCAAGAGTCGTGCCGGCGGCCTTGGAATACAAGGAAGTCAAAAGAATGTCCAGGTTCAACTGGTAGAGGCTGTGGGTGCTGAAGTTTTTCAGTTTGTGCTGCTGTGGTTATTGTAAGTGGGAATGTCCGCTTCAGAAGAAGCAAAGTTGAAGGTGATGAGCAGCAAATAGGATAGCACCTTCAGAAATGGCATATCCATCTCGCTACCCGGTGCTTACTGCTGAGTGAAGCAAAGCTTCCACGCCGTTGGACAAGCAGTTTCATGATGTCTTTTATTTTAGGTCAAATAAAACTGAGAATTGAAAACAAAATTAGAAAGATAAAGCGGTATAAGGGATGTTAAAAGGGTGGGGGTATTAGCTAGAGGCCCCCAAGTCCCAACATTCCCGAAGCGACGGGAATTTCCGTATGATTTTCATTTGCCAATGGAAAAGCTTTAACGTGCGAAGACTTTGCTTGAAAGAGCCTGCTGTACGTTTATAGTATGAGTTGTGATTTTGTTCTTGCGGGATCAAAAGGCAAGAATCAAGCTTGATGATACAAAACACGCAAAAGAGAAACAATGTCATTATCCGTGTTCAAGCAACAGCGTAACATTTAGGATGAGGATTTTGCAGGATAGTTGCAACAAAGAGCTTTTATAAGCCAAGAAATCAATACACTGAATAGCATCATAACACATGGTGTGCGTATATTTTCAGTATGTCCCCGATTCCTATAAATCATAATCCTTCCTTCATTAATCTCTGTCCCCAATGGATGGTTAGTTCTCTTCCATCTAGCATTATCACTTGAGAAGCCAGTGTAAGCAAGAATCTTGTTGCAGTTTAGGTTAGCCGAAAGATGGTTATTGGTTTAAGCACGCAAGGTGCCCCTGCCTTTTTAGAGTAATTAAGAAGGGGAAGAAAAAATGCCAAGAGCCAATGTTCGAGTACTAGGCTCTACGATGCTAAAGCCATGTCATACTTCTAGAAAAAGCTTGAACGACCTTCAACGAAAGGTACCTATACCCGAAATATTTAATTACAGAGATGCATGCCAATAAAAAAAAAATCAGGAGGATCACCAGTAGTTGCGGCGGCATGGGCTGGATAATTAAGAAGAATGATATTGTCCACAAAAATAAAGAGCAATAAGACGATTCATAATCATAATGCAGAGTCATTTTTAGGGCTGTCTCATCAATACCCAAGAAAATACTGAAAAAGACGGAAAAATCAGTCACAAAAGCTTATAAGCAATTGAAAATATGAGAAAACCATCATAGCCTCTTAATGGACATCAGAATAAAAAAGGGGGCCGATTGAAAAAAAAATCCAAATTTAAAATAATTAAATTGTTATTGCACACATTTTGAAAGGAGAGGTTCATTCAAAAACTACTGTGGAGAAATTTTCAGTCGAGAATAACATTCAATATAAATTCTAGTTTTTATGCCGTACAACATACTATCCCGTTCTAATTATAAGATTTAATTTGCAATAAAAATTATACTACAAACTAGAACTTTTAATTAGAAAATGAGGCAGTGTATTCTTATTTTTTTTAAAAATATTTGTTTGAGAGATTCGTAATTTCTCGAATTATATGTTCGCAAAAAAATTTCTTGAATTATAAGTTCAAAAATTTCAAAATGTATGAAATTAAATTATTGGTGATAACAGACGAAAATTCGAAGTGTATACATTAGTTTTTTTTTGCCAAAAAATGTATATATTAGTTTATTTATTTACATACTTATCATTTTAGACTTATTTTGGAAATCCAAAATTAATCACTAGACGTCTAGTCCCCTGCTCCTCTTCGTCGCAGCTGCTGAAATAATGAAAGGCTTGACTTGCCTGCCTTCTTGATTGTGATTGACTAGATTGTGGCACAACAATGAATGCTCTCATAAAACTCAGTGGTAAACTAACAGTATAAATTATAAATAAATAGTAAATAATTTTCGTTTAATAAAATAATAAAATTAAATAAAAAGATTTAATAATAGCAGTAATATTAAAAAAATTTAATATGCAAGATATAAGTACTAATATCACATATTAAATGATATATATATATATTTATCTGTGTTTGTGACTGTGTAGTTTAATGTTATATAAGCATGATGCCTCACTTTTTTCTTGCAGACCATAAATGAGCCCGAGGATTAGAATCTGAATACCGCAGTGGTGGGGAATGGTTGCAGCGATCAATGAAAGAACTTGGTGGCTCTGAAATCATCGTGTTGAAGGTCCGGAGGAGACTAAGAATGTCGTAAAAACGAAGGCTGTCAATGACAAACCAACTGCATAGAGTGTTCTATATATATCATAAATAAATTGAAGGGATCAAATTATAAATTTTCATTTAGTTCATGACATATTGGCTTGATACGTACGCACTCGGGACCATTTGGACGTCTTTTACTTTCCTTTCATAAACATAATCTCAGTTTTCTGCTCTGTTCAAATGTTATTGACTAGAGAAGCTGAATAATGTCTTGGGCGTGTGAGCTTCTTTTCTACATGAAGACATGCCTATTTGAAGCCCATTATGTGTGTCACTCACTAAAGTGCATATATAAGGGTCATAGTAGAGTTGGAGAATGAGATCTTATTCAAGATGAAGGAGCAGTCATTGAAGAGAAAAGAAAGAGGTCCATTTTTGCATATTCACGTAGTTTGTATTTGCAAATTATTCGCTAAGCAGTGGATCAGGCTGAAATTAAGTCAAAAGGTTTGGAAGTATATAGTTCTTCATTTTCAGTAGTCGTCGGATTATGGATTCATTGTCTAGCGCACTTGTTCGCACTGAATTTCATTTGATCTTCATGTTTACAGCACAATTCTCGTTTCAAATTTCATGATTTGCCGTGGGTCACGACCCTCTTATGGGGCGGCCTTAGGCAAAAATTTCCACAACTAACACACAACTTTTCTTCATTTTGGATGCTTCCATTCATTTTCAAACAATTTGGTCGCCTCGATTTCATTGGCCCGCGCTAGCCTTCCATCACCATCATCAGTGAACACCTTCACGGCCATTGCAATACTTCTAATACAAAACCGTCGAGCTTCTCCATCATCCATCCGAACTGAAACTGAACCTGCCGTAGAAATACACAATAAAAATCGATCACACACGACCAACGCAATCTTCACCCTAATTACCGCGGCGTCCGTGATTATGGCTTCCACCAAAATTTTGTTTCTTCTGTTCATTAGCCCAATCTTTTCTCCTGCAACTGAAGCACAGGATGGAAATCCTCTTTACCACTACTGCAGTTCCAACCAAACCTTCAGTGCAAATAATGCCTTCCAGTCGGACCGCACCACCCTCCTCTCTTCCTTAGCTTCCGCCAACATTGAGTTCTTCAACTTCACCGTTGCCAGTGGCGGCGACACTGTCTACGGCCTCTTCATGTGCCGGGGCGATGTCAACCTTCAGCTGTGCCACCAATGCGTCGTTAACGCAACCCAACGATTAACTGTCATGCACAAGGGTCCAGATGACCCAACACGAATGCGGGATCCATCTGGGGCCCATGGCCCATTGAGCATACAAGGATCCAGAAGGAAGAGTCAGAGAGCACGACGTAAGACCTGGAAGCTGAGGGAATTGGAGGATTCTATATAATAAGACAAATACGGTTATGAGTGGGTGTGATTGGTATTTTGGAATCTCTTCGTCTCTTCTCTCCCTGGCTCTTTCTCTCTTTCTCTCTTTTACATTTCCGTTCTGCACTTGTTCTCCTTCTCTTATATTTCTTGCATTATTTCTTTCTGATGAATACCGATATGATGATTATTGCTGAGGTGTATGTTGAGCTGAAACATTAATAGAAGTTCTATCTTCTGCTATTCGAATATTTCTTTGCGATCATAACAGTTGGTGCTTTCATTGAGAGACTCCGAAATGGCAGATAATACACGAATGAAGGAATTGCAAGCTGAACAGAAGAGAACCAATGAGTTTATCGATGAAGCTCGCGATAGATTTAATAAGCTAGAAGGCATGATGGAAGCGTTGATGACCCGAATGGATATAATGAGCCAGAGGTGGGACACTAATACGAAGGAAGAGACGGGCGATCCTACGAAGACTAATACTCAAACGGTGCCTTACGTTCATACTGTGGGGAAGCAAATTAAAGTGGACTTTCCAAGATTTGACGGGTCCGATGCATTAAACTGGATCTTCAAGGCTGAACAATATTTCAAGTACTATGAAATGACTGATGCTCAGAAGCTAGTGATTGCCTCTGTCCATATGGAAGGGGAGGTGTTACCCTGGTTCCAGATGTTAGAAAGGACGGGCAGGGTCCCCACTTGGTACACCCTGGTAAAGGCGGTCGAAGCCCAATACGGACCGTCAGAGTTCAATTGTGCAAGGTCACAGCTGTTCAAACTTGTGCAGCGGGGCCCTCTTGACGAGTACAATGAGAAATTCATCGCATTGGCTAACCGAACAGAGGAGATACCAGAGTCTGCTCTCTTAGATTGCTATCTCGGGGGACTGAAACCTGAGTTGAAGAAAGAAGTATTGGTACAGAGACCACTCACAGTGCTCAAGGCAATGTCGATCGCTCGCTTATTTGCAGAAGCATCAGAACAGAGTGTGGTTACTAAAACACGAAGCAACGCATACTATGGAGGTGGCGGATACCTGAGTAAGGGAATGGGGACTCATTCTAATACATCGACAGGATCCTTGACAAATCTGAGCGGTGGAGGAAAAACGAATCTACCGCCATTATTACCCACGCCTAACCGCCCACCGATCAAGAAAATCACTCCGGCAGAAATGCAAATCCGGCGGGAGAAGGGGTTGTGCTACACATGCGATGAGAAATTCTCCCCAACACATAAATGTGCCAATAAACAATTAATGATGCTCCACAGTGAAGAAGATTCGGAAGACGTGACTGAAGAGCACGACGAGGTCCCTGTTGAGAGCACCTTCCATCATTTATCTCTCCATGCATTGAGAGGAACGCAAGGGCCAGCAACTATCCGGTTCAATGGATCAATATATGGCACAAATGTGCAAATCTTGTTGGATGGTGGGAGCTCGGACAACTTCCTACATCCGAGAATCGTGCAGCACTTGCAACTACCGGTAGAACAGACTACAGAGGTCCGAGTGCTAGGGGGAATCGGACCAATAAAGAGAACGAACCAAGTGGTTGTTGACGTGCCTGTCAAGATTTGTGACTACACTCTCAAGATGACCATGTTGGTGCTACCCGTGGCTGGCGTGGATATGGTTATAGGAGCGGATTGGCTTGAGACACTGGGGCCCCACGTAGCCGATTATAGTACATCTACTGTAAAATTTCTGACCAATGGGCAATGGATCACTTTAAGGGGGTTTCGAGGCAAACCGATGGCTCAGGCAACTTTTCATCATTTAGTTCGAATCCAGCAGACGGATTCTATGGCAGAATGTTTTATGGTGGAAGCAGTAGACCCGCAGTTCATAGAAATCCCTGAAGACCTCCCTTCAGACCTGGCACTCGTGCTAAAATCTTACAGCTCAGTCTTCCAAAAACCCAGGGGGCTGCCTCCCTCTCGAGACCATGAACATCGCATTGAATTATTACCAGGAACACAACCAGTCAAAGTAAGGCCCTACAGATACCCGGTGAGTCAGAAAACAGAGATCGAGCAAATAGTAGAGGATCTCTTGAATGAAGGTTTAATACGGCCCAGTAGTAGTCCATTCTCAGCGCCTGTTATCTTGGTAAAAAAGAAAGACGGAACCTGGCGTTTCTGTATTGATTACAGAGCATTGAACGCAGTAACGGTGAAAGACGCATTCCCTATGCCTACCGTGGATGAATTGATCGACGAACTCCATGGATCTGTCTTCTACTCAAAATTGGACCTACGTTCTGGATACCATCAGATCCTCATGCGTGAATCAGACCGAGAGAAAACGGCGTTCCGTACCCACCAGGGGTTGTACGAATGGATGGTCATGCCCTTCGGCCTTACAAATGCGCCGGCCACATTCCAGTCCTTAATGAATTCAATTTTTCGGCCCTATCTACGGCGGTTTGTCCTAATATTTTTTGATGATATTTTGATATACAGCGACACGTGGGAGCTACATTTGAATCATGTTGAATTAGTCTTGGACACACTGGCTCGACACCGGTTATTTGCAAAAATGTGCAAGTGTGCATTCGGGCGACGTCGGATCGAATACTTGGGTCACGTAATATCTGAAAGAGGCGTTGAAATGGATGAGTCCAAAGTAAAAGCCATACAAGACTGGCCGCAACCAACCAACGCTACGCAACTCAAAGGCTTCCTGGGTCTAAGTGGATATTACCGTCGTTTTATAAAGAAGTATGCCCAAATAGCTAGCCCATTAACAAAATTGTTGGGTAAGGATGCTTTTGACTGGACCAACGAGGCTCAATGTGCTTTTGAAACGCTGAAAGAAGCCATTATCCAGGCCCCAGTGCTTATTCTTCCAGACTTTACGAAGCCCTTCATCTTGGAGACTGACGCGTCGGGTATTGGTTTGGGCGCTGTGCTTAGCCAGGACGGTCATCCTATTGCCTTCTTCTCTAAAAAGCTATCCCCTCGAATGCAAGCGCAGTCAGTTTACGTTCGTGAACTTATGGCCATTACAGAAGCGATTTCGAAATTCCGCCACTATCTCTTCGGTCATTACTTCATCATTCGAACAGATCACGCCAGTCTCAAGCATTTGGGGGACCAAGTCATTCAAACACCAGAACAAGAAGCGTTTCTGCCAAAACTCTTAGGATATCGATTTGATATTGAATATAAGCCAGGTCGCCACAATCAAGCAGCCGACGCTCTATCACGAGTGTCCTGTATGGCCATTACTTCTTTGGGATCCTCTTTTATGGACCGTGTGTATGAGGTAGTAAGGTCCTCGGCTTTGATTCAGCAGCTGAAAGACAAGATAAAAAATGGAGTTGCAGTGGATGGGGGATACCAATTGAAACAATCTGATCTGTATTGGCGTAATCACTTGGTTATTCCCCATGACCAGCCAGATCTGATTAAAGCTATTTTAGATGAATTTCATGCCTCTGTTATTGGGGGACACGCCGGCTTCCTTCGTACTTTGCACAAAGTAGCTCGTCTATTTTTCTGGCCTAAAATGCGGCAAGATATTCGCATATACGTGCAACAATGTCGGATCTGTCAACAAGCCAAAAGCTCCCAACTTCATCCAGCGGGCTTACTACAACCCCTTCCTGTTCCAGAACGAATATGGGAGGATATTTCGATGGATTTTATCACTGGCTTGCCAATAGTTAAAGGGAACTCTGTTATTCTAGTAGTCGTGGACCGCTTATCGAAGTACGGCCACTTTCTTCCTTTGCCAGCGACTTTTTCTAGCACGTCAGTAGCTGAAGTTTTTGTCCAACACATCGTAAAGCTACATGGGATTCCTAAATCCATTGTCACTGACCGAGATAAGGTCTTTACAAGTACCTTTTGGCACCACCTAATGAAACTTCAAGGTTCACAGCTTCATTTTTCGACTGCTTACCATCCCCAGTCTGACGGGCAAACAGAGGCTTTGAATAAGAGTCTGGAATTATATCTACGTTGCTTTGTTTCTGAACACCCCTCGTCAATGGTTGCGTTATCTGCCATGGGCTGAGTTTTGGTATAATTCCTCTTTTCAGACATCGATTGGTATGGTTCCCTTCAAGGTAGTCTATGGTCGGGATCCGCCTCCGGTGCTTCGTCACTCCTCTCTTGAAGATACACCGCTGGACATTCATCAACAGTTGATTCGGCGAGATGAAGTACTAGATACTCTGAAACAGAATTTATTGCGAGCACAGTGTCGCATGAAGTACTATGCTGATCGCAATCGCTCGGATGTGGAATATCAAGTGGGTGATATGGTCTGGGTCAAACTCCGACCTTATAGACAACATTCCGTTGAATTGCGTAAATTCCACAAGCTTGCACTCCGTTATTTCGGTCCATTTAAAGTCTTGGAGCGCATTGGCCGTGTTGCTTACAAGTTGGAGCTACCAACTCATACCCGGATCCATCCCGTTTTCCATGTTTCTACTCTGAAGAAATTCTATGGCGAGGTGGTCCCACCTCCGTTTGTGCCATTACCATTATTGTCGGTTCCTGAAGGACCTCTATTGCGACCTGTGGCTGTTTTGGATTCTCGTGTGGTTCAGCAACGGGACAAATGGGTCAAACAATTTTTAGTGCAATGGGACGGTCCAGATGAGGAATCATGGGAGGATGCCGCTGCTTTGGAGTCTCTTTATCCTTCTCTGGACCTTGAGGGCAAGGTCTCTCTTAATGGGGGGAGTGATGTCATGCACAAGGGTCCAGATGACCCAACACGAATGCGGGATCCATCTGGGGCCCATGGCCCATTGAGCATACAAGGATCCAGAAGGAAGAGTCAGAGAGCACGACGTAAGACCTGGAAGCTGAGGGAATTGGAGGATTCTATATAATAAGACAAATACGGTTATGAGTGGGTGTGATTGGTATTTTGGAATCTCTTCGTCTCTTCTCTCCCTGGCTCTTTCTCTCTTTCTCTCTTTTACATTTCCGTTCTGCACTTGTTCTCCTTCTCTTATATTTCTTGCATTATTTCTTTCTGATGAATACCGATATGATGATTATTGCTGAGGTGTATGTTGAGCTGAAACATTAATAGAAGTTCTATCTTCTGCTATTCGAATATTTCTTTGCGATCATAACATTAACCTCGGGATGCCCATTTTCGAAGGAAGCCATAATCTGGTACGACGAGTGCATGCTTCGCTATTCCAACCGCTCCTTCTTCTCCACCGTCGAGACATATCCTCAATTATTCATGTGGAACGTCGGCAATATGTCTCGGGAGGAAAGCTTCTCAGTGATATTGCCGTTTACGCTTAACTTGACGGTACAGGAGTTAGCCGAGGCTCCTTTTGGTGCTAAGAAATTCAATGCAACAGAAATTCATATAACTAATTTTGGACCTCTGTATGTTCTGCTTCAGTGCACGCCAGACCTGTCACCCCAACAATGCCAAGACTGTCTGAAAGATGTTATCTCGAATATTCATTTTTGTTGTGAGGGAAAGAGAGGAGGAAGAGTTATAACTCCTAGTTGCAATCTTCGTTATGAATCATATCCCTTCTTTAATCTGCCAGGACCTCCGGCTCCACCTCTTCCTCCGCCAAATTCTTCCGGTAAGGTTAAACTTAGTATTTGCTTTTCTGACGTTTTTTTTTCTATACATACGTACCGTAATGAGAAAAGCTGCGCTGAGGTTGGCGTCAAAATAACTTCTTCTTTTGTCAAAACAGAGAGAATTTAATATCTCTGTGACAGTTATGGCTGGCCGGATAACAGTCCATGATTCCCTTTAATTATAATTAAAAGATTGTTAGAGATGTGATTTAAAATCAATCTTGATGGATTAAAATATATTAATTGTTTGTTATCATTTTGAAATTTAATATAAGTACCAGAAATCGATCGACTCACACGAATTCTTTGCATCTTGCCCCAAAATTGACTTGCCTGGAAGGAAGTATCTGATGAGTGATGACTGATGTCTAACACAGTAACAGCAAAGACCATTGGGATGGTTGTGGTTTCTGTTGTTGGTTGGGGCATCCTTCTTTTGCTCGCCTACCATCTCTTAAAGAGTCTAATAAAGAAGAGACGCATGATTATTCTCAGACAAAATATTGTAAGAAATTTTCACTCTCTCTCTTTATTCCTACAGTTTGCTGATAGCTAGATGGCAATGCTTTTACTGTAATTTTTTTTCCCTTTTCTTTAAATTGTCTAGTTGGAAATGAGAGCAACACTTTAGAGCCTTTACAATTTAGTTTGGCTGCTATTGACGCTCCAACAAATAAGTTCTACGCGACAACTATTTAGGCCAACGTGGATTTGGACGAGTTTACAAGGTGAGAAATTAAATGCTGTCAATGTTAATGTTTTAGTTTGTGGGCTCTTATTTTTTACTTTTTAATCTAATCAACTACAATTTCAGGGTATTCTGACAAGTGGCCAAGAAGTAGCTATAAAGAGACTTTTAAAAGGTTCTGGCCAAGGTGCAGAGGAATTAAGAACGAAGTTCTATTAATTGCTAGACTCCAACACAGAAATTTGATGGCCTTGTTAGGATTTTGCATAGAAGATCGAGAGAAAATTCTTATTTATGAATTTGTTCCCAACAAAAGCCTTGATCATTTTCTATTTGGTTTGTCTCTTCTAAACCCATTTTAACTCTTAATTAAAATTTATGATTCACATGTGTCATGTCATCAATTGCTTAAATTTAAATTATCTTTATCTGCCATGTCAAGTATCTGATAACAAATTTATGTGTAGGTTCCCAGAAAAGAAGAGTATTGAATTGGGGGGAGCATTGTAAGATTATTGGAGGAATTGCTTGAGGAATATTATATCTTCATAATATTCCTGTCTTAAAATTATACATCATGATCTTAAACCAAACAATATTTTATTAGATGATGAAATGGATCAAAAAATTTCAGATTTTGGTTTAGCTAAGATGGTTGCTATGAACACAAACGAGGGAAGTACAAATAGAATAATTGGCACATAGTAAGTTCTAAATCTTTCCCTTTAAGCTCTACATCTATCTTGATATGGTTGAATAAAAACGATCAGGCAAAAAAAAAAGAATAAAAGAATAAAAACGAAGTGTACCCAAGTTGAGTTTGAAAACTTTACTCATCTCAAGTAGTCATTGAATGTCCGAGTTAATGTTATTATCATTTATTGAAGAAGCACTTTCTATAATTAATATTCTTTTTTTTTTCAGTGGTTACATGTCACTAGAATATGTAATGTACAGGCAATATTCTAAAAAATCAGATGTTTTTAGCTTTGGAGTTATAATCTTAGAAATTATTAGTGGAAAGAAGAATATGAATCGTCATAACCAAACCCAATATTATGAGGGCCTATTGAGCTATGTAAGTTATGATAATACGTTTCTCTTATATTAATATTTCTTATACAATTATCTCAACCAACAAGTTGGAGAAAAGATTATTTTAACTATATTCTAAAAGGTGATAATTGGTTTTACTTGATTGTCATAGGCTTGGAAGCAATGGAAGGAGGAAAAGTTGCTGGAGATATTAGATTCGAATATAAAAGAATTTGGATCATAGAATGAAGTGATCAAGTGCATCCAGATTGGTTTGTTATGTGTTCAAGAAGATCCAGACCTACAATGGCTGCGGTTGTTTCATATCTTAGCAATGATTCCATTCAACTGCCATTGCCACAGGAACCTGCCTTCTTTTTACACGGTGGAATGGGGCCTAGTACCAGTGGAAGTGAGGAATCAGGCTCGACCATTATCGAAGCGTCTATGAGTGAATTCTTTCCTTGTTAACGCGATACTTCCATTTCTTCTATTTCTTGAACACCCTACAAGGAGACAAGCATTCTTATTTAACTGCACAAAACTTGAGCTATGCAATTTGTAGTGTACGTATATTTAAAGGGACAAGTGATATTTTCCATGCATGACACTGGTTTTTATAATGTTATTCTAATCATTTTTTATTCGGTTTTTATTCTATTCGACCCAATAACAAAGTCTTGAGGCTCCATTTGGTACATGGGAATCTTGACTATTAGAGGATGGAATTGAACAACAATTCCTTGTTGGAGTATGCTTTTTAGATTGGAATGAAGTGATCTCCAGAGAATCATACTACTTCCGGTCTACAAATAAGATCTTATAATTAGAACCGGAGGTAGTATTTAACTTCAGCTAGACGGCTTGATCCCAATTCCTCCTTGCCTACGATGGAATCAAGACCTAAATGTCCAGAACTCTAGCTAGATGTTCTTGTTATGATTGGATAAAATTTTATTGATATTATTAATATTTTTCAGTCGTGGTTATAATTTAAAATACAAATGCAATGTTCGAATTCCGAAAGTTCACATTATGGCCTCTTGAGCTGTGTAAGTGGTAACAAAAAGTATTTCTTTCATATGAGTGTTTCTTATGCAATCATTATTATATCCCAGCCTTCAGATACGGGAAAAGATCATTTACCAATATCGTTAGTTAATAAAGGGATGACAACTGATGATTCAAGCATATTTTTATGCAGGCTTGGAAGCAATGAAGAAAAGCTTTTCATAATTGGACTCAAATAAAAAAGGGATTTGGATCATATAATGAAGTGATTAAGTGCACCAAATTGATTAAGAAAATCCAGATGCAAAGCCCTGCGATGTAAGCTAGTGGGGCCTTTCGGGTTGGTTTCTTAGAGACTGGCCTTGTTTTCTTTCTGGAAAACGATGATATATAGCCATTCATACCCATAATTGAGAAAGTAGGCAAAAGGACATTAAATATATGGGTGTCGTAAATGACTTGTGATCGAGCTGGGAACTTCCCCACCACTGGGCCCCTATTCCTGTCAAAGCTAAGAAAATATCCGAGTCTCGGAGCAGTTAGTTATAAGTTAATTAGTTTTGCAGTTGGCAGAGTCCATTTTGATGGCTGAAAAGGGAATGTTATAATAGCTGTATGATGTTAGCACTTCGATTGCGTTTGTGAATTGATCTTTGAAAGTTCTTCATCTTATCGTCAAGGGACGTCAGGGCCCCAACGCAAGACAAGATCCTTTTTTTTTTTTTTTTTCAAATTTGGATTGATGCAACAATTAATGTTGTTAAGAGGGATAAATGGAAAATATAAATGTGAGACTGAAAAACTAAAATACCTTCCTAACCTTAATTTTAAGGGAAAATGTAACTTTTAATCTCTAAATAAACTCTCTCTTAATTATTGATCAAGTCTATGGACTTTGACTCAAAACAGCTCTCGATTTTTGTAGTTTATTAAGTGGCAGAATTATAAAGATTTGGGTTCTTTCGAATTAAAAAAAAAAATAGAAGGACTAAATTTTTCATTATAAAAATGTGATATTTCAGTTATTCCTAATTTTTTTCTTGAGAAAATTGTGAAGTTTAGGTACCAAACTTGAAAGTGGGAGTTAATTTTGGATGGGAGACTTCTAAATTCTTTGAACAACATTGAAGGATCTCTTTTGTATTTAAAATTCTTTCACTCTGTGATTTGCATTGCAACTGTCGTCGCAATTAATGAAAAAAGTCGAAAATAAAATTGAAACGAAATGCCAAGTGCAGGACTTGTCAACAGTACTGACATGTGGGCCCAAGGACTCTTCCCCCTCTGTGTAAAGTGGACGTTCTATGTGTTTGGTAGAAAGAAAATGGAGATGAAAAACATGCTAATGAGTTTAATTTTACAAAATGAGAAAAAATGTGGTTATACAATTTTTAAAAAAAGATATAAGATAAAAGAGTAAAAAATAAATAAAATTTTTAATCTCACTTCTTTATTTTTTTAATTTAACTCATTTAAATTTTTCTCCTCCGCCTTTTTTTTTTGTACCAAACAGATTTTTTAAAATTGACCAAGCAATAAATTTAAGAGAATTTAAACAACATGATTTTTCTGAAAATCCGGGCCGTGATAGTTTAGTCTCAAAATATAAAAGTTTTTTATTACAAAATAAGTTGTGAATAACGAATAGAAGTTGCAAAACAAATATCAATTGGTCTTAGATACAAATCATTGAAAATAATATACAAAATTTAAATGTCTCGCTTCGAAGTTCAAACTGAGATTCTCGCGTACTTACATGTATTTAATTTAATTTGACATTTGCTACTATTTTCTTTTTTTTTTAATTTAACTACCATTAAATAGATTTTCTGGGGCCTAACTATAATTCTCTTAAGAAATTCTGTAATTCACGGAGTATTTTCAATATTGAAGCCCAAGCAAACCGTTGTATCGGAAAATAGAGAATGATGCTCTACAGCTTCCAGTGATGAAGGGGCGACGACTGATATTTTTTTTCCCCGGCAGTACAAGACTTTCCCTTGAACATCAATGCTCTGTTTATTGTAAGAAGAAAATATCAATACATTACGTCACATCCTAATTGGCTAAATTGATAAGATTAAAAAATTAAATAAATTATCTTAAATTTTTTAAATTAATTTACCTAATTTATAAATTGATATGTCATCTAATGATACACAAAATCGGAGTATATCACTGCATTGTGCGCCTGATTATATTCCTAAAAAATAAATGTATTGAGTTGAGTGTGTCGATAATTGTGTGTGCTCAACGCAAATGCGCATAT